CTTGCTTAGGTCACTCATTTCTAAAAATCTTAAGTCTTGGGAAGAGACTCTACCTTTTGTGGAGTTTGCATATAATAGAGTTGTACATAGCACCACCCATTGTTCACCATTTGAGGTTGTTTATGGCTTTAGTCCTCTAACTCCTTTATATTTAACACTTTTGCCACCTAATATGTTTACAAGTGATGCAGCTTTGTCTAAAGCCGAATACATCAAAACATTACACAAAGAGATCAAGGAACGGATTGAGAATAAGAATCAAAAGCTAGTAAGTCGCAAGAACCAAGGGAGAAAGAAAGTTATTTTTAACCCAGGTGATTGGGTTTGGGTTCATCTACGAAAGGAACAGTTTCCAAATAAGAGGAAGTCAAAACTTAAACCATGAGGAGATGGTCCTTTTCAAGTGCTTGAACTGATCAATGACAATGCGTACAAACTGGATCTTCGAGGTGAGTATAATGTAAGTTCTACTTTTAATGTGGCTGATTTGACTCCTTTTGATGTATGAAATGAAGACCTTGATTTGGGGACAAATCCTTTTAAAGAAAGGGGAGATGATGCAAATCCAACCATGGATCCATTGAATGTACCCGAGGGACCATTTACAAGAAGCAAAGCAAAGAAAATTCAAGAGGTTTTCATAATACATCTTCAAAGGCTAGCTAATGCACACGAGGAGACAAAGATTTATGAGGCCAAATTTCTTTACAATGTTAATTTAATGAGTCAAGAAGAGAATGGAGCAAAGATGGCACGGGAAAAGTTGTCTATTTTGAGAGATGGCACGGAGGACAATAAAAGTGTGCAGATTGGTGAACAGGTGCCTTTGCAGATTGCACCTCTTGGGAGTTTGTGATGTCAAAGCTTGTCAAATCTCATCCAAACGTAAAGTGCCTCCTACATGTGATTCCCAAGACAATTTAAAGCAATTCTACGTTTTTGGATTCACATTTAGTTGTCTAGTTTGATGTGCAATCATGTTTTAATTTGCATGTCTTATTTTCTACAATTTGCATTAAATAGGATTTGAAAGACTTTTGGTGTTCCTCGTGTTGAACGACCCTTTGGCCTATTTAAAGGCTTGTAATCACCTTGTTTTGGCAGATTAAACATATTGGAATTCAAGAACTTTTGTTCCTTAACACATTTGGTGTTGCTTTTTTCAAATATTGCTTTAGGTTTGATGTTAAACCGATTCATTGGATTAGTCTCGATCAAGCTAATTCTGGAGTGAGTCGTCT